TCGCGTTTTTAGCCAATCAACACTAACATCTCTTTGGTGGAGGAAGGCACTGAGAGGGTAAAGTGTCTTGCTCAGGAACACAATGCACAATTTCGTTCTCAGGGTCGCTCTTCATCCCAACCGACTCCAACCCATACCTTTTACTAACCTGGCTAAAGCTCAAGCCCAGGCTTCTCGCGATCGCTAAGCGCCAACCGCTTGGCTAGCAGGTCTCTTACACTTTATCTTCGGCGATAATTTAACAACTATGGCCCAGAGGGAGAAAAACCTTGGTTGTGTTCAGTCCGAATCAAGTATAATGTTTGGTTTGAATCTTTGTGGCCAAATTTTAAATAACAGAAAAAAGTTTCCAGCGGACTGTTTAAATATGGTCGAACATTTGCAAAAAAAGAAATCCTATCTTTCGCTAATTTTTGGATTTTCCCTTAAAAAGGTAATGGTTATTATGTACCCAATGCTGAAAGCCAGGGATTTAACATGCAGATCAGTCTTCAAACGTCGAAGGACCCATCAGGAAAAAGGGAGACAGGGAGAAATTACTGTTGAAAGACGGCGCGCTTTTAATAATGATCCGCGTGGCTTGCATTATTGGGCGTTTAATCAAAATAAACAGAATACTGTGAAGTGTTATCCATAAATATTTTCTTTGTATAAAACAGCTAAAAGACACTCAATTGGACCGAACGCACTTGTTCCTAGTGCCGTTTAGTTAATGTACACTTCACACCATCCTTGGGTCGGAGGGTCCCTCTTTCAAGAACAGCGCGCGACTGATCAGGTACCAAAGAAAACTTGAACGTCTGAAGAAAGCGTGACAGCAGAACCTTGGCCTCGATCTAGTATGAGAGAAATAATTAGCACTGACGGAAATAAAAGTTACCTGACTGATTTCTGGTCTACGGTTAAGTTAAAAAGCGGTTCTGGGATGACGGAAGTGGCTGCATAAGTTAAATTGTCACTGCAGAGGTATTCACAGCTTTCCGAAGATATTCGAGCGATTTCCGAAAATTCTTATGAAATCGCCGGCCGTAAGCCATTCAAAGATTTCCCTTCGCCGACCTCATATTGCAATTTGACTTGGAGTGAAAAAAATGCAGGGGAAAAAAAAGCAAGTTGAAGAAAATATAATCGAGTGTATCAGACCAGGTCCTTAAAACAACCTAAGACTACTTTTAGATGTCAAAATGTTTCGCTGTTATCTGTCTGCGTCCTATCCTCCAAAGCAAACACTCACTCATGTTTACCTGGGCGAAGTTTAGTCCAATACAGTTGCGAGGTCCAAGTGAGAATGGAAAGTAGCTGTAATGACACCTAAAAAACAGACGAGAAAATAAAACTTATTACATGTTCTTAACACAAACCCAAGTATGGCTAAGACTGGAAAGCATCGCAAGACAAAAACTCTTTACATCAATGTGCCAGAGGAACCATTTTGGAAAAAAGTTAAAACAACTTGAAATGAGTCAGCAAGCTCTGCCAAAGCAACGCAAGAGGGAAAATGCCAACTGTAAAAAAAAATCTAAAAAAGTAATTCATATAAATTTTTGTCTTGTCTGAATACCTCCTAAGTACTTCGCCATCGTCAAATCGGTAAGGGTTGAATTCCTCTGGGTTTTTCCAGTATTCAGGAAAGTGACTGGCCACATAGGTGCTCGTCTACGAGAGAACCAAACGCACTTAAAAAGGCTTTCCACTGTAAACTAACTTCTTCATAATAAATTATGACCCACAGTAACCCACAACTGTCGTAACGTGACTGCGAGATATCTACCCCTGCTCTGACAGCTCAATGGTACGTAGGATGGGGGAGGGGGGGAGGGGACACTTCAAAACTTGCTAGCCATTCTAAAACAACTACCTATTCTCTTCCACCTGAAAGTAACCCTTGAAACTTGCGCTTTTATACGGTTTTGCATCTGTTTAATAGATTTGCTTCGAACTTAAGAAACGTTGTTAACTGGAGAAACAAACATGTGCAAAAATACTGTACAATGATGGCGACATCTGTAGGTATTTTATATCCTCCGACATCTTGACCCTTTTCAATCTTTCGTATGTTACCAGTCGCTGGTGGATGACGCCGCAATGTCTCTTTTATCACCTGAATTGATAAGAAAAAAATATATTTCATTGTCTTAATAACTTCTTGGCGCAAGGAGTATACAGTGGAACGTCACTGTATTGGCAAAGCATAACTTTGAACGATTCCAATTGATTCTCGAACTAAAGTGATCCAGGACTTCATATCTTTACTACGCAATGAGAAACTTCACA